ATCCGACAAAGCAAAGGGAGACCGGAATGGCCATTTCTGGTTTATTAGCCGTTATCAGCCAGCCATACCCAGTCTCAAGGGTTGGAACCCCCGAGATTTGAACCCAGGACCTTTGGTCATTGAGTTCAATACTCTACCCCTGGTCCACGGGCTCCCTGCTTTGTCGGTTGTGATCGTGAATATTATCGAACTGGGGTGTTCATCCAATCTATCTGGTTAGGGCATATACTTGAAATGTGGGCATCCCAAGCAATATATGTTGAGGTTGAATACGTTCTTCGGGAAATAGGAATTTATTTCGTGAATTTTCGAGACTGGAACGCCAGCTCATCATCAGACGCAGACTTTTCCTCCCCACAGATATAGGAAGTCAAACTGAGATTTAGAACGAATCATATTACGAGCAGAAGATGCTGTCAGTGTTAGAAAATAGCTAAACCTATGGGCCTTTTTCCAAAAAACTTACCAAAAAACAGATTTCATCTACTGACAAAGCGCTGAAGCGCCCTACAGGAGCGAAACAACAGTCAGAAGAAATTGAAAAATCCCTGAGAAAATCGGACGCAACCATCGCCAAGACCTACAGATTGCCCAAAGTTCCTCTGCGATCGATAGTACTATAAATTGGTGCACCAAATGACGAAATTTACAAGTGCCTATTCCGTCAACTTCATCCAATTACGATGGATTGTGAAACTTCGATTCAGAACTCTATAATTTCTAGACAAAATGAGAGGAATCACAATCTCCGCTGGTGAGACAATGGTCTTCTTTGACTTCATTGCTTTGTTTACATCTATACCATTAGATTTACCAAACCATTGCACAGACTAAATTCTAAAGGCCTGCTCGAAAACGAAATTGAAAATAAGCTTCCATTTGTAGATATTTTCGTACAGCGAAAGACCGACGGAACATTACACAGACCCGCTTACTACAAATAAATATATGTGAGGTTATTCTACACTCTGAGAGGAATAAACCGATATCTCACAAAAGGAACACCGTCAACAGCTTACTACATCGAGTTAAGATACATTGCTCTAACAAAGAAAGATACGGAGTCGAGCTTAATTATCCGTTTGACTTATTTTCCCAAAATGGTTACTCCAGGGACTTTGTACACCGATGCATTAAACAAGAAGAATCTAAAGAAAATAAACTAGATTGTTCCACTCAAGCAACCAAAGCAAACACATGACGAACCCTTATTTATATAAGGAATTTGTCTGAGCTCGTTGAAAATAACTTGTGAAAATATGAAATGAAAGTGGCGCACAAAACGAGGACGACATTACGTACGCAGCTTATAAACCGTAAGGCTAGGGTTTTCTATCTCGACAAAAAGTCTACAAGATCCTATTCGAAGCTTGTGATTACGTATACTGTGGCCAAACAGAAAACTCCGCCTCTACAGGCAGCCACGATCATCAACTAGGGGTTAAGGGGCATGACCCTCGGTCCCGAGTGACTATGCATAGCCTTGATACAGGACACAACATCACATGGGACAAAAATCGCACCGTAGAAGCTTTCCCCTCAGAAAAGGACGAGAATTTTTGCGGTCATGCATTTCGACGACTCATGCATCAATCAGTATATTTAGTTAATTACCGTGTACAAAATCTCAAAGAAAATGGAAGAGACGAAAGCCGATCGAAACAGACTGACACAAACTGCAGCCATTAATTAGCACTCACACTGGATGACTATTTCTTTTTTCAGCACTTTTGAATCTTTTATTGTTTTTGCATATTTGCTCAAGTCTGACGACGACCTGGGGAACCAGCGTCGAAAGTTTACTGAATAAGGTTACCTTGTTTTACCAAGCAATGTATTTACTTCATACCCTTATAGCATTCCCTAGACTCTTTGGTCCTAGTGCTGCATGAATGCAGATCTGGGCGGTATTCCGTGCGCCGACTGGGGGAGGTTACAAGCTTTCATCAAAATCGACGGTTAACACACAGACAAGTCCCCCGCGTCTTAGGGCCGTGAAGCCTTTGCCCCCAGGCAGGTCGTGGGCTCGAAATTTTTATAGGGAGCGGATTAGCCCGGCCGAGCTAGATGACCTGGGGCTCACCGACGTGGCCTGGAGATGGAGGTGGGTCACCGTGGCAAGAAAAGCGTGCACTTTGGTACGTACGTATGTGACCGCCCAACGCCGGGCAAAAAAATGGGCCTAGGAGCTTGCGTAACGCAAGGGCATTGTTGTCAGGGTAAATATATATATCTAATTTCTGCAAATATTCCCATTCTTAAGCTAACAAGTCAATTTGGCAAACGTATGTTTTCAGCAAATCTTCGTCAGGCCAAAACATTTGCAGGCCGACCTCGCCATGC